TTTCTTCACTCAGCGACTGCGTGGCGTTGGAATACTGTATTAGTTTTGATATGAAAGCTTTTAAGTACAGCACACACTAGCAGTGGTTCTCATCCTCCCTAATGCCGCAACCCTTTAATACAGTTCTCATGTTGTGGTGACCCCCAACCATAAGATTATTTTCGTTGCTACCTCATAACTGTAATGTTGCTACTGTTATGAATCGTAATGTAAATATCTGATATGCAGGATGTACTTTCAGGGATTGTGACCCACAGGTTGAGAACCACTGCAAAGGATTATGATGAATTGCCCTTTCTCTAACCTTCACAAGCTTGCACTCTAACCTGACAGGCTTGCAGATCAATTGACTCTGAATTAAAAATGGAATTTAAGAGGTTGTAGCTAATTTTTTTCAATGTAAACACCCAGAATGCTGTATTTCATTTTTCCGGTATAAACACGCAGGAAAATGTATTCATGTGTGTGCATATTTACATTATGCGTGCCTGTCTGTTGTTTTTATGTATGTTTGTGGTATGTAAATATGTCTTGGCGTTTGACATCCTCTGACTTTTTGCAAAAATGTCGTAATACTTTATATCTCAAAGCCACCAGAATACAACACCTACTGCCACGTGATGAATATGTCGTCTGCCTCTAAGCATCTCCCTGGTGTGTCTTCCACTTTTTTCTTCTTATGTTTGTATTCTGCTTTCACATCAGCTAGGTGCCCCTTGTGGGGCGGGTCCCCTGTGAGAATAAAAAGAAGCTACTGTATCTTTATATAGACCCCCACCCCATCCCAATCGGGAGCGGGCCAGCTGGACCCCACCCGTACATGAAATCGTGCACCGGGCCTCTAGTATTTATATATCTGTTGTGGTTTACATGGACTGTGACTAATGCTCTTATTGTATTTTTGTTCTTTGCTTTCCCATCTTCTGTTTTATTTTAACAATAATACTTTGTGACGCTTCTCTCTCTCTCCGAGAGGCTGAGGAATTTGACAAGATCTTCATGGTAATAATAAATACCCCATCCCACCCCTGTACGGGGCCTTTTGACACCAAGTTCTGCATGTCCCCAAAGTCTAAGCTGGTGTTTGAGACGACACTGCACCTGAGGAAAACAGGCAGATTACCGAGGAGGGAACCCATCTTTCCTCATTAAAACTGTCCGTGGGAAATTTCCGTGAAATAAAATACAGTTACTTAAACAATTGTTGTTTTAGGCAGTGATGACACACATATGAACAGATCAAGTAACTACACAGAAATTAATAGTATTTGTTTCTGGTTTATATAGATTGAAATTGAGATGTTCTCTTAGCACTTATTAATCTCACATGTAGGGGACTTTATCCACTGAAGTATACTAAAAAGGGAAATGTTTATTGTAAATGTTTTATTTAAGAAGACACACACCCTAACCATTTATTTATTGTGACTGAACTGAAGCAGGCAGTCATGCCTTAGGGAGCTGCGGGTCCAGTCCCTTCCCTGGTGCTGGGCCGGGATTTTGCCAGGAGCCTCTACTCAGATCTGCAGGCCTCGGCTCCCAGAAGCCCACATGCAGACGTGGCTCCTTCCCCGGACTCTGTAACCTGGTCCAGTGGTTCAGACCTGCAGGAAAGCGTAGGGCAGCCCGGGAAAGCCTGTCCCAGGTCCCGGCAGCCCCAGGGGTTTGGAAGAACATCCTATAACTGTGGCTTCAGAAAGCGCTCTGGAGCTGATGGGCTTCTAAACTACTCACCACGATGCAAGGAGATGCTATTGCATCAAAAGCACAAATGCTTCCACATATCCATGTGTTTCCCAGGATAGCACCCATCCTCCCTGTGGGAAATGCACCTGGATGTTCTCTGTTTTATGGTCTCTCCCATACAAATGCCAGTTGGAACTCACTCAGAGGACTTCACAGTTCACAAAGGATGTGCTCCACCGTCTCAAACACACAGCTGTGGCGCCCCTTCTGTGAGCGGCGTCAGGTACCCACGTGCCCTAGAGGCACCGTGTGCAATGACGTGCGCCACGGAGCAGCCATGTGCTCGTGGGCAGGTACCTTCTTCCTTGCCGCCCAGGTAAGGAGCAGACAGCAATGCCCCAGGACAAGTAGACGCCGCAGAGCCGATCCTCCAGCCGCCAGCCAGACTAGGGCATGTGCGGGAATTCCTCTGTGTCTGGGCTCAATCCTTGTTCAAATCATAGTCACTAGTGTCTTTTTATTTTTTCTGGAACAGCCAAAAAAAACTAAACTGAAAGGAATCTTATTTTCATTTTTCCATATAAAGATTCTTGGTATCTGTCTCTTAAATATGTATAGTCCTGGGTGCAGGGGGCATGAGGGGCTCTATTTGCAAGAAGGAGGCACCTCACAAACACTGCTGCTTGTCTCCAGGATGGACCCACATCGTCCCTCACCACTTCAGCTTCCCGAGCTTTGCACCTCATTTCTAGAAATTCTAGCTCACACCTGTAAGCAGGCCTGAGCCTCCTGAGCAAAGCTCACCCAGAGAATAACTGTGCTGAGAGTCAGGAGCAGATTGCTTTCAGCTTCTAAATGCCGTCCTCTTATTATGTAGCCTGGTTCTTTAACGACAAATAGAGGCCCAGTGCACGGATTTGTGCACATTGAAAGTAAATTAACTGGAAGGTGGCTGGCAGGGCAGGACTGGGCGAGAGGGGCCAGACATGTCCTGGAGCCAGCCTCCTGTGGACCCTCCCCGGGCAGCCGCACCTGGGGTGGCGCTGGGGCTCAAAGGACGTCTGCGGAATGAGTGGGGTCCCTCAGCCTGGCCTGTGGGGATCAGGCCGAAACGGGCTCTTCAACATCCCCCGAGGGGCCCCGGATTGCGAGGGGGCAGTTCTCAGGTGACGCACCCCGGAATCGGCTCCCTCCTCTCTGGGTCCCGGTGCGTCACCCGAGAACCACAGCTGCCAAGTCACCGAAGCTCGGCAGCTCCTGTGTTGAGCGTCTGCCCCCTGGTGGTCAGTGCGCATCATAGGTACCCTGTCGACGGTCAGAGGGTCACTTAGGCTTTTATATATATCTAGATTCCCAGGCACAACCTTGGTGCTAAGGGTTCAGTAAACTCCCTGCTTGCTTTTAAGCGAAGTCCGAAGGCACTTCTAAAGGGTGTTTATTATTTAAAGAAGAATTTCTGCCCTATGCCAGGGGCCTTTACTGATTATCCCTGAGACCTCCTTAGACTGCAGATTGCAGAGATGAGGTCAGAAGCATCGGTCTCAGGAGACCTGAGGGAAGTGGGTGGGAACGGAGTTTTTAGCCCCAACACCAGTCTCCTTCCAGAAACAGCAGTTACTCCCCTGGACCAAGGAATTCAGTCAGCCTAATGCGCTGGAAAGAACCACACAGGCCACTGTTCCAGTGGTAGCTCCTTCATTTATTTAGTTTGTAACCTTGAGCAAATTACTTAACCTCTTTGAGCCTCCATTTCCTCACACGTAAAGAGGGAGTAATCATGCCCCTCTCTTGGCTCACCGGCTCCCACCGTCTGGCAGCCCTACTCCATGTCCCTTGCAAATTCTTCCACATTTCTTACCAGTTATTCAGAATCTTCCTGCTGCACCCGTCAGCTTTCTCAGCTGATGGCCTGGCCTCCTATTCAACAGCAACCACCGCAAAAGAAGCGGAAGCCTTCAGAGGGAGCCCTCTTACAGCCCTCCAGGCCTCCGCGTGGTGTCTGGGTGTTTTCTTTCATCCAAGGCTCAACTTCCCATGGGACTCTTGATCCCATCCTGTACTTCAGAATGTCCCCACTCTACCTGGACATCCAGTCAGCGCTGGAACATTCTGAGGCCGCTCGCCATCTCCAGAAGATCCATACACAGACCCTCGAGCTGCCTCCTGGGCCAGCTCTGCCCGTCTCTCTCTTCTCCCCTGCAGCCAGCCTTCTGGAACAGAGGGTGCAGAGTCAGGATTTACCGCCCGCGCACCCCTGCTCCAGCCTGGCCCCTTTCTCGTGGCTGTCCTCCGCCCGCCACTCACGCAGCTGTTGTCTTCCAGAGTCACCCGTCGCTGTGTCAGGGGCACCAATGACTGCCCCTCTGTCTTTGTAGCGTGTAACAGTTAACCCACCTCTCCTCAATGTAGTGGTCTTTCCCCTTTGCCTCTGTGACACGGTTCACGCACTTCCTTCCTAACTTTTCGGCAGGGACGTTTCAGTTTGTCCTGTGACTCATCTTCCTCTACCCGATCCGTCACCATGGCTGTTCTCTGGGTTCTGCTCTCTTCAAAGTATAACCACGCCGGGTTCCCTCCCCCACTCCTCTGGCTCCAGTGGCCTTCCGTGTGCTGCGCTGCAGGCTGTGAGCTCCCAGGTCAGTAAGTGCAGCCTAGACCCCACTCCTCGAGTCCGGACATCAACCCCATGAACCTGACCAGGGAGCTTTGGAACACGTCCCTCCGCTGGCATCGCTGTGTCTGCAGCTGAACCCACCCCCGGCTTTGGTCATCTGCTCCTGCACAGCCAGCCGCACCCAAACTCAGTGGCGTCAAAGATCAATGTGTGATCGTCTCTCATGGTTCTGCAGATTGACAAGGCAGCTCTTGGGTTTTCGCTTTGGTCTCTCGTGCAGCTGCTTCCAGATGCCAGCGGGTCTCTCTGAGAGCTTGCCTGAGCTGGAGTCCGCGGCAGCCCGTCCTCACAGCTGGCAGTCGCTGCTCCCTGTCGGCTCTGCGGTGGCTGTCGGCTGGAGCACCTGAGCCTGGCCTTCTGTGTGTCGGGGCTTCTCAGAGCATAGCCGGTGGTTCTGAAGAAGCATGTCCAAGAGGGATCGTTCACAGAAACAGTTTTCTAGGATATTGGACATTCTCGGGTGTCCCTTCCATCACATCCTGTCCGTCAGAAAATTCAGTGAGGTCAGCCCAGGTTCATAGAAAGGAGAATTAGCCTGGCAGGCCTGGCTCAGTGGTTGAGCGTCAACCTAGGAACCAGGAGGTCTCGGTTCGATTCCCAGTCAGGACACATGCCCAGGTTGTGGGCTCCATCCCCAGTGGGTGTTGTGCAGGAGGCAGCTGATCAGTGATTCTCTGTCATCATTGATGTTTCTTTCTATCTCGCTCTCCCTCTTCCTTCCTCTCTGAAATCACTAAAAATGTTTTTAAAAAAACCTTCCCTTCTTGACCGGGGAAATGGCAAGGACACATTTTATAAAGGCATGGGGGGTAGACGGTGTGGTGGCCATCTTTGGAAAACACTCCAATTGGCCTCTCTTCGGGGCTTTCTGTGTCAACAAGTGGCATCACCATGCACCCGGTTACCTAGGCCAGAAGCTTCACTGCCCACATTCAATCAGTCACCAAGTCCTGTCAATTCTAACTCCAAAGTATCTCCCGGATCCCATGGTCTCTCACCTGGATCATAGGAGCCACTTTCCATCTGGAATGTATGTCTTTAGTCTCGCCCATCCATTCTTCAGAGACAAATCTGAGGTACCAGTGCCCTGCCTGACCCCCTTCAGTGGCCTAGATTCTGACCTGATGCCTTTGGGTGACTTACAGAGCTCTCCGCGAGTGGCCGTGCATGGCCCTGTGCCATCATTCAGAAACAGTGTAGCCGAGAGAGAGACCAGACCACCTGGTTTCATGTCCTTGTTCTGACCGTTCATGCCTTTGTTACTGGGGACAAGTTCCATCGCCTCTTTGTGCCTGTTTTCTCATCAGTTAGAGTGGTGTTGCGGATCCATTGTAAATACCTAAAATGGTGGCAGTACCTAGTCAGTGCCTGGAAAATGCCGGTGATGATTCATATTCCTAGTTAATGTATGCCTTCTTTGCTAGAGTATAAGGCAAAGATCATTATTTTTCCTGCTCTGTCCTATGATTTTAGCAGAGTTACTGGCATGTAATAGGTGCGCAACAAGAATGTGTTGAGTGAGTAAATGAAAATAGCATGACCAAGCGATAGGAAGTATATAAAGGGGCCAATGACATGAAGGACATGATGTGCCCTCTATAAAGCAGACACAAAGCAGGTGTCGATGCAGTGTAGTGGGTCAGAAAAGCAGCGCTGCCATCATGGGATGCTTTGAGCAAATTACCTTCTCCAACCTGCTTTTTCGTGGGGTGGTGCTGAGATTCAAATCAGATAATGCATGCAGGCTGCCAGGCAGTGATTAGAACATGACAAGTATTTGATACCTGTCAGTAATTATTAGTTCACTCTTTTTTCTACAAGTCATGATTATGTACTTGTACTTTTGTAGCAAAATTCTTAAGAAGGTAGATCCTTAAATCAGCATCAATAATATCCTCTGAAGCAATCATAGAAGTCCCTGTCATTCGTTATTTTTGTTTTTATTTATTTGGAATTTATGAAAGGAAGCTAATCTTTAATCTTGCTTTGAATGAATAATTTTCGTTCATTCTGCATTCATTTGCTGAGCATATATAGGGTGTCCCAAAATTCACGCAAGATTTGAATTTTGTGTGAGCATTAACAACAACAACAACAAACAAATAAAAGCCTAATTTTACTTGGTTTATTGAATCAGATTCTAATATCTGTCGCCCTTTGATTTCAATCCCTTCAATTTGATAAGCATTACCAAGTACCAATTATGGCCCAGGAGCAGGGACAATGAAGACCAATGAAGACCACAGCTTTGCGTATGTGCCAGCAAAGCTGTGGAGGCCATTTACCCGATGTGCTATTCCATACATAACCCTATACTGTATACTTTATGAATCAATAAAAAATTTACAATTTTTAATTATAAACCTGTGTTTTCTATCAAAATTACTTGCGTGAATTTTGGGACACCCTATATTATGTGCCATGTACAGAGCAAGGTTCAGAGAATAGAGCAGTGAAAAAAAGGCAGTCATAATTGTTCCCAAAGCAAGTGAATTTCTAGGCAAGACAGACGTCAAGCAGGCAATCGCAGTGTGTTAGAAAATGCACAGCAGGGAAAAGCAGAGGGTGCCATGGCCAGACATCTCAACATTAACTTTATATGAAAAAAGCGATGAGACAAATGCCAACATTTGGTGTTTGATAATGTGGCATAGTGTAAGACAAAAGGAGAGTCCATAAATTTTAGTTAGCAATAACTTTGGCAAATGACTTCATATATATATATTCTCTTGTATGAGTATAGATTGAAACACTAAATCTATATGTATGTGCTTGTGTGTATATCTGTGTGTGATTTATACTGTTTAAACAAAATAATTCAAATTGCTTTTAAATTTTCATTATTGTTCATCGTGTACCAATTTTCTCAAATACTAGACAGTTTCAGCAAATTAGATTTGAGCGAGTGGAAGATTGCCTGTGAACTAAAGCGCTGGGACTAAGGTCTGCAGGAGCATCAAGCTTTATCCGATATTGCTTATAGAACTTGCAGGGTAGAGTAGTTCTTTAATTAGGTGCCATATTGATTTCACCCATTAGGCTGTATTTGCAAGGCAGTTATGTTTTATCTCACTTCTCTCGTGATGTAATGTGCTGTGTCCGTGTTGGGCCCGTGGTGGTTTAAAGAAGGACTTGCTCACGCAGAGATCTCAGAATCAGTGAATGAATCCAAGGTTAGATCATAGGATTGCAGGGTGGGCTACGGATTGTAAATGCCTAGCCTGGCTTCCTGCCGTCTTAATTTTCTGTGCCTCCATGGGACTTAAGATATTATCACTTACCCTCTTCAACAACTGAGTTAGACTTTTATAGTTGGATTTCTTCCCTGCCTTTCCGTTGTAATCGTTCTACGCATGTTCCCTCACATCATAGGCAGGCAGCAAATGCATGCTATACATGGGAAAATATTTAGTATTTTTTAACTTTCCGTGACCTCTTGGTTCATAGATCGATGCTCAGCCACTGAACCACACCGGCCGAGCCCAAGTACCTTTTCTATGGCCTTGTCTGAAAAACCCCACTTCACTGATGTGTTTCCCTGTAAACTGGGTGTCACATGAGTAAGGAGAGGAAAGGCAGTAGCTCTGTGTACGTGGTCTCTTTATGTTCTCACACTCTGACAACTGTGTTTTAAGACATTGAGGCTGTAGTGACACGTGCTTGCTGATGAAAGGGAACATCACAGTCAGCAGGTGGAAAGATTGCTTGTGGCTCCCACATTCAGGCACAACAGGACGTGGCGGGAAAAACCTTCAAGACGATGCCCTATTGCGTTTGAAGACGTGGCACATCTCACTCTTACTGGGAAGGCTTTCATTGGTCTGATTCCCAACCTCCACGCTTGGAGTTTAGAATAACCACAGGGCACCCAGTTGCCCTGTCTATGTGTTTGCCTCCATCCTTCCTCCTTTTTCTCTTGGTGACACCTACAGACAACCTTCGTGTGTCGCCTGTGATCACTCCCAGGCCAGGCTCTGGGGCGGGCGGGGGAGTGATCTCCGTGAAGTGGGAGAGCGCTCTGGGCCCGGCCTCCTTTATTTCCTCAGAAGCCAGAGTTTCTGGAATTCAGGACACGATGAAGGACTTCTGTGCCTGGCCTGTATCTGAGAGGCCTGACGAGCTCCAGAGGAAGGGGCTGTGCAAGTGTTTACAAGTTTATCAAACTGTGCCCAAGGCTCGTCCACTGCTGGGCGTGCTGACAGTCAATAAAGAGCACTTGAAGCGCTAGCAGGAGTGGCCGCACTTGGCCCCGATCGGCGAGGGCCTGACTTGAAAAGCGGCAGCGCATGATTTAAAAAGACAAAGCCCTTCACCGAGCCCCGGTCCCCTGGCATTTGCACCGGGGGCGGCAGCAGGCGTGTCCTGCTCCCCTGAGCTGCCGGAGCGGTGGATTTGAGCAGAGAAAGGGCAGTGTTGCCCGTTTGTCTCCCCATCAGTGCTTACAATGAGAAGTCAGGTCTGCCCCCACCCTGTAGAAAAGACAGATTTTAAGACTTTAATTCAAAACACGTTTATTCTAGAAACCAGAACAGTTTGAAGCAAATGGAA